GAGAGACTATGGACTCTGAGAAACGAACTGAGGGTTCTAGAGGGGAGGGGGCGGGGGGATGTGTTAGCCTGGTGATGGGTATTAAAGAGGGCATGTACTGCATGGAGCCCTGGGTGTGATATGCAGACAATGAATCATGGAACATTACATCAAAAACTAATGATGTAATGTATGGTGATTAATGTAATAAAATAAAATTAAAAAAAAAAGGGAACTCTTGTATACTACTGGTCTGAATGTAAATTGGTATAGCCACAAGGGAAAATAGTATGGAGATTCCTCAAGAAATTAAAAACGAATTTACTGTATGATCCAACAATGCCACTTCTGCATATATATTCAAAGGAAACAATGTCATTATCTTGAAGAGATACCTGCACTCTCATGTTTATTGCAGTATTATTGGGCCCTAAAAAAGAAGGAAATCCTGATATTTGCACAACATGGATGAACCTGAGCGGAAATCAAAAGCCCACCAAGACTTAACCAACGAAGCCACCCAGGCAGCCTGGTATACCTTTCTATTTATATGTGTCACCTTCAATTTCTTTCATCAGTGTCTCATAGTTTGCAGAGTATAGGTCCTTCACTCAGTTAAATTTATTTTGGAGGTTTTTTGTGTAATTTTAAATGGGATTGTTTTCTTAATTTCTCAGATGCTACAGATTTCTGTATAATAATTTTGTATCCTGAAACTTTACTGAATTCATTTATTAGTTCTAATAGTTCTTTAATGGAGTGTTTAGGGTTTTCCATATATAACATCATGTCATGTGCAAATAGTGACAATTTTACTTCTTCCTTACCAATTTGGATGCCTTTTATTTTTTTTTCTTATCTGATTGCTGTGGTTAGGACTTCCAGTACTGTGTTGAATAAAAGTGATGAGACTGAACATCTCTGTCTTGTTCTTGATCTTAGAGGGAAAGCTTTCAGCTCTTCACCAATGAGGATGATGTTGGCTGTGGGTATGTCATATATGGCCTTTATTATGTTGAGTTATATTGTTTGGCTATTCGAGGTCTTTTATCATATCATACAAATCTTAGGATTATCTGTTCTAGTTCTGTGTAAAATACCATTGGTATTTTGATAGGAATTGTACTTCGTTAATGTGGAAGCAGTCAAATCCTTTGGAAGACTGGAAGATGGGCATTTGCCTGCACCCTTGGGATTAACCTTGGTGGCTAGCCACAGTAAATACCTGCATGCTTAATAACAAGTACTTCTTTGTTTGCTATTGTCCTATGGTACTTATGAATACAGGACCCCCTGGCTATCAGAGTTAGGTAATTTGGGGCATGTCCCTCAGATAGCAGCTATAAAATTGGGGCACTAGATGTGTACACAAGGGAGAGGCCTATGGTTTGGTTTTATGGTTGGAGTGAACTGGGTGCAGGTCATGTCCACTGGCTCCCGCAGGCTTCAGGGAAGATCATGGCCATTACATGGAGATGTGTGCTTACTAGAAGCTGGACCCTAAGGCAGCAGCTTCTAAAATATGCAGTCAACCTCCTTCCAGGAAAAGTCTTTGCATGCTCCCTCTTTGCTGAGCCCTGGGAGAAAAGCCACAGGAAGTGTTTGTGTTCCCATCATACACTATTAAGAACTACTTCTTTGTTTTCTATAAGCCTGTGGGACTCATGAACACATGCCCTGATGGCTTTCAGAACTAAGTGTTTTGGAAATCCGTATCTTCAGTGGGAGTCTTCAATCTGGGGCAGTAACTGTGCAGTCCAAACTCTTCAATTCTCGGGGAGAAGCTGGCAGTTGGGGGTTCCCTCCCGATTATATGGCACTGCGCTGGGAGTGGGTTTATTGTAAGAGTGAGTATTTTCTCATTTTCCCAATGTGTCTCAGCTAGTTTCTGGATTTCTCTCAGAGGGAACTGCTCCATGCATAGTAACACTGAGTGTGCCCAGGAGAGGAGGGAAATTCAGGAGCCTGCTATGTCACCATCTTGGTTCCACTCCATTCTGAGGTTTTTGATATTTGCCTTCCTCCTTTTCAGTAGAGAATTTTGTATTAGTCTGGTTTTTAAAGTTGATAATATTTCATAATTTAGAGTAATATTTACATTATTGTATATTTAAATCACAGAACTTGACCCAGGTTTTCTTGCTCTGAAATACAGCCAATATGGTAATAGTTATAATGTATTTCTATCATTTCTTTTTTTTTTAGATTTATTTGAGAGATAGAGAGAGTGTGAGCAGGGGGAGGGGCAAAGGGAGAGGGAGAGAATTTCAAGCAGACAACCCACTGAGTGTGGAGCCTGAAGCAGGGCTCAAACTCACGACACTGAGATCATAACTTGAACCAAACTCAAGAGTTGGACACTTAACTGACTGAGCCACCCAGGAGCCCCTCTATCATTTCTTTATAAATAAATCATATCCAGACATTTTTTTCTATAGGGAGAATACCTATAGTTAATAGTTAATGTCAGTTACTCACTCAAAAAGAAAACTTCTAAAAACCGTAATGAAATACCACCACATATCTATTAGAACTAAAATAAAAACAGTGATAGTAGTCAGTGCTAATGAAGCTGCAGAGAAGATGAATCTTTCAAACACTGCTGGTGAGAATCTCTGAAAAACAGCCTGGCAATTTCTTGTAAAACTAAACACGCACTAACCATATAACCCAGCAATTGCATCCTTGGGCATTTATTACAAAGAAATGAAATCCTCCGGGGCGGGCGCCTGGGTGGCTCAGGTCATGATCCCGGAGTCCTGGGATCGAGTCCCGCATCGGGCTCCCAGCTCAGCAGGGAGCCTACTTCTCCCTCTGACCCTCTCCCCTCTCATGCTGTTTCTCTCTCTCTCTCAAATAAATAAATAAAATCTTAAAAAAAAAAAAAAAAAACTGTTTGAAATCCTGGGGCACCTGGGTGCCTCAGTTGTTAAGCATCTGCCTTCAGCTCAGGTCATGATCCCATGGTCCTGTGATTGAGCCCCACATCAGGCTCCCTGCTCACCAAGAAGCCTGCTTCTCCCTCTCCCACTCCCCCTGCTAGTGTTCCTGCTCTCGCTGTATCTCTGTCAAATAAATAAATAAAATCTTAAAAAAAAAAAATGAAATCCTATGTTCACACAAAAACCCTTATATGAATGTTCATAGCAGCTTCATTACCAAAACAACCCAAATGTTCTCCAGTGGGTGAAAGGTTGAAAAACCCTGGTATATCCATATTAATAGAATACTATGCAGCTATAAAATGGTATGAAACATACTATGTTGACCTCAAGAGCATTTAGTTTAGTGAAAAAAGTTAATCTCGTCATCCTTGTCTGTGTGACAGTTATATTTAAACAGTAATTAATCAATTGTCTCTACAGGGTCTAACTATCTCAGTTTATGTACATTTTTGTTAGTGTGAATTGTCTCTCAAGGGGGAGGTGCCCATTTCAGAAAGTTTTTCATTATGACAAAACATTATGACTAACATTTCCTATATCTGATTATATTTGATTCCTGAAAATTATTTCCACATTTTAGCATATATCTATCTATATATATATTTTTTTAGATTTTATTTATTTATTTGACAGAGAGAGAGAGATAGTGAGAGCAGGAACACAAGCAGGGGGAGCGGGAGAGGGAGAAGCAGGCCTCCCGCCAAGCGGGGAGCCCGATGCGGGGCTCAATCCCAGGACCCCGGGATCACGACCCGAGCCGAAGGCAGACGCTTAACGACTGAGCCACCCAGGCGCCCCTATTTTTTTAATATTTTCAATTTGTAACCTAGATTCTCTGTTTTGAGGGAAGGAATAGTGTCAAAAGTTCCAGCAAATTTCTTATATTTTTCACATTACATTTCAAATTTATCAAAAATTTGGCATTTTCCACATGGTAATTTTTTTAACAATTTTAAAATTGGAAATATTAGTTTTTCTAAATTATAAGCATAAATTTTTCTACCAATGTGTATTTTCAATTTTGTTATAAGTCATCTGAAATATAAAATTTACTTTTTACTTACAGCAAATTTTGAAGGATTGCTATTTCATTTATTAATAGATTTCTTTTAATATCATTATATTATTAAAAACTGAAATGATAAGAACACTTAATAAACCTCTCATTATACTCCAGAAATAGGTACAAATACTTCAACCATGCCACCAACCCTGTCCCACTGCATGTCACACAGCTGTATTTTTTTTTTAAGATTTTACTTTTAAGTAAATTCAACACCCAACGTGCAGCTCAAACCTATAACCCCAAGATCAAGAGCTGCATGTTCCAATGACTGAGCCAGCCAGGCACCCCTACACACCTGTCTTAACCCCAGTCAACTCAATATATAACCTTCTACCAGGGCAATAAATCTGAACCCATTTCTTTAAGGTGAATTTTACTTGATGCCTATCTAGAAGGCAAACAGTAGCAGCTTTGTTCTTCACTTTTTCCTTCCTCTGCCATTCTCACATATAACACATATAGAGACAACATATACTTTCTGAATTTGACTAAAGAGATTAATAATCGAGACCAGCGGCAGGAAAACAAAGAAATTCCAAAAGAAAACCCAATTACCAACAAAAGAATTCCAAAATTCTATTGAAATTAAAGAATCGTTGTAGAGATTAAATAGGTCTTAGGATAGAAGTGATAATAGGAAAGACAAAGAGTAGCAGATAGCAGATTCATGAAAGAAAGAGCAGTGAACAGAAGATACCAAAGGGAAGGCAGTGGCTTGCTTATATCATTGTCACATATTAAATTTTCTCCTCAAAACTTAGAAAAGGAATGCAAAACACACAAACACATACAAATCAATAATCACAAAGATAAAGATAGATATTTCATACTTATGTGGTGATGGCCAAGTACTGGGATCCTGAAGTACCACACCAAGAGCATAAAGAACAAGGGTCTGCAAAAAAATTACTCTAGTTAGTCAAGGCCTAACAGAGACAAAAATGACTGCCAAGAAGCCAACTCATCCTAGATGCTCTTAGATGAATATAAAATAAAAACAGGAAATAATCATACACAGGTCATTATTTTGATGATTTTACAGTGGAGAAGGCCTCCCTAAGCATGTCAAAATCTGGCAGTCATAAAGGAATAACAGACTTAACTACGAAAATTTAAAACCTGCATCCAGTAAAAACAAAACACACCAAAATCACCAGTAAAAGATAAATAATAGGAAAAATATATTTTCCATATAACTGTTAGTATGTACAATATACAAAAAGACATATAAGCTTACTAGAAAGAAGTGAGTTACAAGCACATAATTTACAAAAGAAGAAATACAAACTGATAAATATGTACGAAAAGCTGCTCAATCTCTCCAATGATCAGGGAAAAGCAAATTAAAATAATGAGACAGTATTTCATATAAGAAATATATAAAAAAATCATAAATCCAGGAGTAGTGAGAATATGGAGAGCAATAGCATTCTCATATCCTGTCACTGAAAATATAAATTGCCTCTTAGAGGGCAATTTAAATTTAACATAAATAGCACTTTGACCCCAAAACTCTATTTCTAAAGCTCTACTCAATACCTATAGAAGTATATAATTTGTAATGACAAAAAAATTGATGTAATCTAAATTTCCATCAATGGAGACTGCTTAAATAAACTGTAACACACTCATGCGATGGAATACTATATATCCATTAAAAATAATGAGTTGAAAAAAAAATGAGTTGGAGCTGTATCAAGTACCAGTTGTACTAATAACTAATAACCACACCTAATGAAAGAAGCAAATTAATGAATGATATATGAAAAGCAACTTTTCACATATAAATTCAGTTTTTAAAATACACAGATGTGTATATACACATACAGAGTAATATATATACATAGAAAAAGACCTATAAAAATACACAGTAAAGTATTAACAGTAGTACATATGAGGAAGGGAGCCTTTCTTTTGTATTGCTTATACCCTAAAACAGCATACATTATTCTCATTTAAAATAACTATGCCTTTGATTTAATAATAGGTATCATTTATTAGACATTTTAGACAATACAATTCAAAACCACACGCTAAGAGTTGAAAAGAATAACTGAATGAGTTAAGTATACCAAATGTTTCCTACCTCTCTAGGAATAATAAATTTGTCGATCTTTCCTTCAATATCTTGAAGCCGGGCAGAAACTGGGGTCAGTTTGGCAGTCCGAACAGTTTCACAAAGTACTTGCCGACAATATCTGTTTTAAAAAGTTTTTTTACAGTTCCTTAACTCTGGGAAAGGCAGTTTGAAATGTACATACATTTAAAAAAAATTTTTTTATTGTTATGATAATCACCATACATTACATCATTAGTTTTTGATGTAGTGTTCCATGATTCATTGTTTGTGCATACCACCCAGTGCTCCACACAGAACGTGCCCTCTTTAATACCCATCACCAGGCTAACCCATCCCCCCACCCCCCTCCCCTCTAGAACCCTCAGTTTGTTTTTCAGAGTCCATCGTCTCTCATGTACATACATTTTTAACAACTTTAATAACCTTCCTAATTGGAAATAGTCACATCATAATTCTAATTTACTTGAAAATAAGTTATATATTAGAGGTATATAAAGTCCAGGTAGGTATAAATTTAAACAAATAGAAACAACTTTAAAAGTACCAGAAGAAAACTCAAAACAGTATTTGTATAATTTTTAAGTAGAAAAGTCCTTTACTGTTAATAAATTTAATAAATTTAAAAAATTTTAATAAAGAAATTTCCTACTCAAAAATTATAAAAATACCGACACAATGACAGAAACCATAAAGAAAAATACACGTACTCCAACTATGGAAATTTTTTTTGCATATTTAAAAAAATATTAGGTGTACATCACAATAAGAATAAAAGCTAAAATGTATTGAAATCTTACCAAAAGCCAGTTCTATTAAATACTTTCTATGTAGTATCTCATTTTAATCCTTATAAGAACCTCAGGGATGCTATTATTATTCTAATTTTATAGATTTTTAGAAATAAGGCAATTGTTTAAGATCACATAGCAGGGAAGTGGTGTCAACAGGATTCAAACCCAGGTCTGCCTTACTCCATAACCCATAATCATAAATACTAAACTATTGTATGTATCATTAAATAACAATCCCATTTCTAGGACTTTATTAATAGCAACAGCTGGAAATATTAAAAAAATGCCAAGCATAGGAATGTTGATTGTTTATAATATTTTAAAAACAACAAAAACAAATAAGGAAAATCCTTCCTTTCCTCTTTGAACCACTATTTATTGGGTACCTACTACATTACAAGCACCGTGTTAGATACTGAACTATAATAGTGAATAAGACAGATACCCACAAAGGGATTCAAGGTCTAGTTGGCAGGGAAAGCAAGAGAGGTAGGGACAGGAAGGATAACAATTTAAAAAGCACAGTAACTGTTATGATAAAGGCAGGTCAGGATTTTGGAGAACATATGGCAGTAGCACATAACTAAAGAAAGGACTCTGCAGAGAAATAAGCACTTTAGGCTGAGACCTGCAGAAAAAAACTGGAGCTAGCTAGAAGAGAAAGGAAGAGAGAATCTAGACAAAGGAGTAGTCTGCAAAAGCCAAGAGATGAGAAAGAGTACTATAGCTTTGAAGAAACAAAAGAATTTCAGTATAGTTAAACCTAAGGTATGAAGAGGCACAGATAAGAGATAAGGTGGGAAAGGAATATAAGGCCCAGCTCTTGAAATGCTTCCTAAGCCATGTTGGTGAGTTTCAATTTTATCTTAAGGGCAACCAGAGATCACTGAAAGATTTTAAATTGGGGAGTCATCTGCCCAGATGTTAACTCCTCAGGTATAGAAAGATTACTAGTACAGTGATTCTCAACATTAGAATTAGAGCACATTGGAATCATCTATGAAGCTTTTGAAAACTTCTGATGCCCAAAGACTGTTGATTTGGAATTGGTCCTCAGTTATCTTTATGGTTAAAACACCCAAAGTGTTTACTGTGTGCAGTCATAGGCTCCAGTAGCAATTTGAAGACTGGATTAGAGGGCTGCAAGATCCAAGCCTGCTGAAATATCCCAGACAAGCTGATAGTGGTCTGAATAGGGGGGACAATAAAAAGAACTAAAATTAAACTTCCAGGGGCGCCTGGGTGGCTCAGTCATTAAATGTCTGCCTTCGGCTCATGTCATGATCCCGGGGTCCTGGGATCAAGTCCTGCATCAGGCTCCCTGCTCAGCAGGGAATCTGCTTCTCCCTCTCCCTCCCCTGCTCTCTCTTTCTCTCTCTGTTCAAATAAACCAATAAAATCTTTAAAAAAAAATAAAGAGAAAAAAATCTTTTTAATTAAGGTTATTATCTACATATAAAAATTCATCTATTTTACTTGTATAATGTGAATTTTAGTAATTGTGTATAATTGTGTTACCACAACCACGATCAAGATACAGAACAGTTCCCTCACCCTAAAAACTTTTCTCATTCTCCCTGCTAGTTGATCCCCTCCCCATTCCTGGCCCCAGACAACCACTGATCCCCTTTCTACAACAACAGTTTTGACTTCTAGAATTTCACCTTAAGGAAATTATATTGTATGCAGTCTTTGTGTTTGACTTCTTTCACTTAACATAATGACATTTAACCACATTGTTGTATATATTGATAAGATATTACCTTTTACCACTTGATAATATTCCATGGTAGATATAACACAACTTATCTATTCACCAGCTGATGAACATCTGGGCTATTTACAGCTTTTTGCTATCATGAATAATATTGCTATGAACATTTGCATAAAGGTCTCTGTGTGGACATATTTTTTCATTTCTCTTGGGTAAATGCCTCAGAGAATTTCTGGGTTGTATGGTTAAGTGTATGTTTAGCTGCCACACTGTTTTCCGACAGGTCTGTACCATTTTGCATTTCCATCAACAAGACATGAGTGCTTTACTGACTTGAACATCGCTGATACTATTTTATATAGTCTAATGTAAAGGTTTCCCAAAACTACCTTATTATTTTACTTATTTATTTGACACAGAGAGAGAGCACAAGCAGGGGGAATGGCAGATGGAGAGGGAGCAGCAGGTTCCCTGCTGAGCAAGGAGCCCGAGGAGGGGCTCGATCCTAACCTGAGCCGAAGGCAGATGCTTAACCAACTACCTTATGATTTTAAAGAGCAAATTAAATTATCTAGTAAGATCTGTATGTAAACACTTTAAGTCCTTTAAAAATATATACCTTTCCTAGATATTATCATTAGCTTTAAATAAGCTAGTTAAACCAACTCGAATTTACCTGTTCATGATATCCACTTCTTTTTATTGTATTCTTACCTGAGCTGCTCGATTTTCTCTGGAGTAATACGATCCTTCCCAAAAACTTGGTCTATCTCTTCATAAAGTTTTTTCTGAACCTCTTCAGAGGTGGTTAAAAAACAGATTGCCCAGGTGCACACTAAGTAAAAATTTACATTCATAACAATGAAAATAGCTAATTGATAGTTTGGGTGCAGAATAAGATAAAACATACTATTTTTTTCTTGTGTTTTCCTTCTCTTCTGATATGGAAGACACATAAAGCTACCAAAACAATACCACGATTATTCACAGGATTTGTACCTCATTGAACATAACATGAATATTTATAGAATACTCCTAAAGAGATCTGCAATTGCTTTCTTAAAAGTGGCAAGTAACTGAAGACAAAAATGCATTTTACTTTCGGTAATTTTAGTATATGTGCTGCCGAAGCGAGCACTACTTTCGATAAAACAGTAATGATAATAAATAAACTTCATTATCTGAAGGAGTGTTAAATGTCGGTAACTGTAATGGATTGTCTAGTTCACCCAACCCTGTGTAATAAAAATACTGATTTATTAGTTCCTTCAGGAGACCTAATGAAATGATTCATACAAATCAGGGTAGCAGGAGATTTACCTATAAATCAATATTCTAAATTTTTACTTGTAATGATAGATACACTGGTTCAGGAATTGGTATTGGTTATTGCTTAGGACAATAGTTCTCTAAAATCACCCGGGAACTGGTTGATGGCACAACCCCACATTCACAGATTCTGATTCAATAGGTTTAGGGTGGAGTCCAGGCATCTGTACTTCCAACAAATACCACAACTGTTTTGATGAACACCAAGACTGGAAGATTACTAAACTTACAGGCTTACTTTTGCTTAGAATGGCTTATAGATTATATTCACTGAGGAAATGAAAAGGTAAGAAAATTACATGATGAACATAAAACAGAAAATAAGAGAAGTTATATTTCCTGTAGAAATCCACTGGGATTATAACTATTCAAAGAATGGAACTATCCAGATACCTTCCAGATACTAGTACCTCTTACCCTAGATTATGCTTGAGATGACTCTATACTACTTTTTTCTGTGTCAACCACTTTTAAAAATGTATTTAGTAATTTCTACTTCTACTTATTAATGATCTCCTTCTTGAGCTAAGGGCTGACTTAAATTTGTCTCAGTTACTTTTTTTTTAATGTTTGCCTAATTCACTTATCCAATTCTCATGCCTAGAAAGGACATAATTCACTTTCTGTACTAAATGTTATTATCAATAAAATTAATACCTACCTGGTACTCAACTTTTTTTTTATAATTTATTCATATTCAGAGTTTATAAAAAGGCACAGGAGTAACTGCCTGTCCTTAACTTTTTCCTACATATACTTCTTTATTAGGGCTTTTGAATGAACTATAGAATTTCTGCTTCACAAGTGATATGAAAACTTGTGCAGTGTACAATATGTACATGTTTGTAATTTTACAACATACAGTAATATACAATATTGAAAGATTTACTACAAGGATATGCACACAGTAGGCACTCATAAACCCTGCTTCACCATATTATCACTTCAAATTAACATAACTATGTGGTTTAATAATCTCAAACACTGGTTCTTTTGTAGAACTCTGAAGTATGACTGAGCATAGCTTAAAAATAATATTTTAAGTCATGAACGTTCTTTAATCATGATACTGAACCAAAGACACAACTGCAGATTTGAGAATACCTTGGAGGTCATGTAGACCTAAACTGTTATTTTAGAAAAGGAAAAAAATGCAGAGGCAGATATCTTGCTCAAGGCTAATAAGTAGCAGAGGATTAAAGTTTCCTGCCTATCTTGACTCTCAAAAAAATTCAGAGGTACCTTAAAAAATAACCAAACCACATGCAAAGAAACAGTGATAGTCTGAAATCCTCCCTAAAACCTGCAATAATATTAAAATATTAACCCAACTTTGGAAATGGTCACTTTTTTGCTCTGTATCCAGAGCACAACTGCTTCAGATTTTTTGAAGGTCTTTAGCAAAGATATAGTTTAATAATGTAGTAAATTTTTAAAAAAACAAGGTAAGCACTTTTTAAAGAAGTTCAATACATTATTTTTGACATATGCACACCCAGATTCCATTTAACCTGTAATACCTGGACATCTCTAGATGTCAAAAATTTTATAAAGAAGAAAAATTTATGGGAAGTTTACATTTTTAATCACTATTTTTAAACAGAAAGAGTTGTAAATGAAATCCTTCAAATGATCATAAATTTCTTCTATTTCAAACTGATGTTTTGATACTTCCTTTAGCATTTTATATTACTATATTTTTATAAACATACACAAATTTTTATAAATACCATATGAATGAATGGTACTCTGCTAAACTAAAAAGCAGTAAGGAAACTTAGAAACATATCACACATTTTAGAATTTTAAATAAAAATCATCTTCAATTCCACCAAGAGAGGAGTTCTTTTAAATCGTGGTTTCTGTGGCCTATATCCTCTGTTGGTAGACCTTAATAATAGCAAACTGGATTGGAGTCAAAGTGAAAAGCCACAGCAGGAAATTGAAAAGCTCACTGCTCTGGTTGGAAAGGTGTCAATAACAGTTCATTTAAAGGCACTAACTAGAATTCACAATCCATAAACCGTGTCAAGAAATTTATGGCAATGTTCAGAGGTGGCATAGAGCACCTGGGGTTAAGAAAAAAAAAAAAACAGTAGCTGTGTGAATCAAGCCTTTCAAACAAGAATAAAAAAGAAAAGAGAAGGGAAATTATAAAGAGGTCTTACAAACAATGTTTCCTTTATTTTAACCATGTATATTTTATAATCTATCTCAAAAAGAAATCAATTATACTTACATTTTGCAGTTATTACACAACTGGCCAGAGAAAATATCATACTGTCTTCAAGGATCTAGGAGAGAAAACTAAGTTCAGAAAGTGTAAACTATAAGGTGGCCTGTATTAGACCCTATCAAAATAACCTATAGTATAGAATTAGGGTCAAGGAAAGGAAAAAAGAATATTATTTCTTTATAATGTTTTCACTTAAAAAAATCGAATGTAAAAACCAACCTAAATACTGCATTGCCTTTTTGATGCAATAAACATTTATTGGTAGTTATCACTGGCTCATGCTTTGTTTTTGCAAACAAACTGCCTCAGTGCTATCTTTCTGGCTTGACAAGGCGCAGCAACAAAGCCTCAGGAACAGTGCAGAAGAGGCTACCACTATCCTTGGAGCCTTATTCAATTCTGCACCTATACACATCCAGAAACCCATTCTGTCTATGAAGACTCACATGTGTAGAGGGGGCAGAAGGTTCCTATAATGAACAGGTGTGGTAATAATGGCTCCACTCTTGTCCTTTGCCCGACAACACTGCAAACACAGTGGTATGCTGGGGGTAACAGAGTGCTTTGGGAACAAGTCAAGCTGCCAGCCTAGTCAGGTAAGTCCTCCTCTTTTATGATCAGAGAATTTTGATTCAACATTTGCTTATGCAATATTAAATAATATATAGATGCTTCAAAGAGCTAAATAACAAGAGACTAAATACTTGTACTATTTACAGATGATATACAATAAAACAGAAGCCATTGAATTTTGGGAGTGCATCTGGATTAAAGTGAATACAAAGCACACTATACATGTGTGATTGTTTACTTCATAAACATTTAACAATTAAATCACCTGCTGGTCATTAAGGTTCCCATGTACTAAGGAGTCAATGAAAATATGTTGACCGAAGTTTCCTCCTTTTCGTTCTTTTATGATTTTCTTTAAAATAGATTCCAGTTGTCTAAGGGCTAAGAGAAGAAATACAAAAAGGATTTTAGAATATAAGCATTTGTAAAAATTGAACATTTTTTAGTATTTCTGTAGAATGTTGCTATGTGCAGAATAAAACTTTCCAAAAAAAGAGTTGTAACCAAAAATTTTTAAAAGCTAATTTATGTTTAAATTCATCAATTTTATTTTCCTTCTTTTTTGCTAAATTTTACATACAAAAAGATGCAAATACCATATCTGTACAATTTAAGGAATAATTATAAAGCAAAGACCCATAATATCACCACCCAGGTCAAGAATGGGAACTAACGCTAGCACCTTGAGGCCTCCACACACATAAACGTCTCCCCTGATACTACCTACTTGCCTTCTAAAGTCTGTCCTCTTTTTTTTTCTTTTTAAGATTTTATTTATTTATTATGGGACAAAGAGAGAGAGAGAATGTGAGAGAGCACAAGGAGTGGAGAGGGAGAAGCAAGCTTCCTGCTGAGCAGGGAGGCCGATGTGGGGCTCGATCTCAGGACCCTGATCAAATACTATTCAGGTGTTAAGATTTTCATGTGGATCTTGGGATTCCACGCCCTCTTGGACCCCATACTTTCCCCCACTTTGCTGCCTGCTCATTCTCAGTCTCCTTTCGATGATTCCTTCTCATCTCTCATATTTCTTAATGAAAGAAGGTCTAAGGTCAGGACTCAGCTTTTGGACCTCTTTTCCTTTTTTCTTTCTTTTTTTTTTT